GCAAGGCCTCCTCTGGGCCTGGCCTGGGGGTGGGGGTGGGCAGTGTGCTGGGGGCCCTGGAGGCTCACAGGCTCTGAATTCAGCCCCCAGCCGGTCACTCTGACGAGCAGGACCCCCAGCAGGTGCCCTTCCCTCGGCTCACCTCCCACCAGTCACCCCAGCCCTGGGAGGACCGTGTGAGTCTGCGGCTCCATCTCTGCAAACGTGGGGTGGGATGAGTGGCAGCAGGATGGGCCCGTCCTGCAGATGTACGGCCACAGGCCAAGGGCACAGGCATGAAACGAGACCTATCAGGTCCTCACTTCTGAGCCCTCATCTCTCGTTAGAAAACCCAAATGCCCCAGAGCCCCCAGGTCCCCCGTGGGGAGCCGGCGCCCCATCTTTCTGGCCCCAGGCACGTGGCTGTAGGGATCTCACTGCCATTTCTCCTCCCGTCAGGGACATTTTCCAGCTGTTTCTCTAGGCGCCCCCAGGCTCACTGGACTGAACGATGCAGACGCCAGGGAAAGTCCTGCCTCGACCCGCTGCTGTCTGCCTGGCAGCCTTGCACTCGGCCTTTTAAAGACATGGGTTATGAATGATTAAATTTGCAGTCACACAGGATTGGAACCCATCTGGCCCCAAACAGCTGGTTTTAAAACTTTGGGCAATTTTATTCAGTGTTAAAACCATAACGTTTCCTCTCTTCCCAATGAAAGAAACCACATCAGGCTGTTTTTTTTTTTCAAATCTAAGCTCTACCTAAAAATGAAACTGGTTTCCAGATTCACGCAAACAGCTTGCCCAGCCTCATCCCAGTTGTAGGAATGACGGCAAAGAGAACAGCCAGGCTCTGGGCTCCCCCAGGGCAAGAGAGCAAGGGCAGTGGGGTAGGGGCGTCTGTTTCCAGGGAGCAGAGGTCCTGCCCTCAGGAGACAGACAGTGGCTCACAGAGAGGTGGGAGCTGCCGCCCAGGGACCAGCCCAGAGCCAGGCCGGGTCAAGGCCACAGAGCAGGCCCTACAGCCAGCCCAGGGCAGGGCGGCACACAGACAGTGCGGGCTAGAGTGTGACCACTGAGGCCGAAGGGCAGGGTGGCCGCTCAGGGCCTGAGCCGGCCGGGCAGGGGCAGGTGGCTGCTGGATGTGTGCAGCCCAGAGGAGGGGGCAGCAGGAAGAGGCCGACCCGAGCATCAGGGAGGGACCCCCTCACAGGGGGGACTGTGGCTTGAGGACACGTCCCTCGGAGCCCATTCCAACCAGGCCCTCGGCCTCTGGCCCCCCCACCCCCACCCCTCGCACTAACTCTGGGGCTTGTGGGCCCCTGCTTCCCTGACCTTCCAGGGACTCGGGAGCCACCCAGCACCCTTAGATCAGATCCCTCCAGCGCTCACATCAGCCCATGGCTTTCTGTCGGGAGCACCCAGTGCCCTGAGATGCGCGTTCATCTTTGTTCGCCGTAAACCAGCCCTTCCAGAGCAGAAGGGGAGCCCGCCACGCTTCCTGACCCTCCTTGGGACAGTCCGAGGCACCATGCTTCACTCCCACGCACAGTGTCCACTGATAAACTGGGCGTCACCATCTGGTTCACCTGACAAATATTAACGTGCAGAGCCGCTGGGTACCAGGGAGGACGCCCGCGTGAGTCAGAAAGAGCGGGCGAGGAGAGGACAGCAAAGCGGTTCTGAGGAAAGAAAGAACCGTCCGCCCTAAACAAGGCACTAGATGCAGAGGTGGGGGGGTCGGGGGGTGCGGTGCTGGGACCTTAGGGAGGAGGACGGGCGACATTTGAGCCTGAGCTTTGCCAGGAAGGGCGGTCCAGGCGGGGAGTGCAGAGCGGATGCCAGGAGCAGTGAGGGGCGGGGGACACACGGAGGGGCGACCGACCTGCAGAATGAGGCTGCAGCTCCTCCCTGAGTCTGTGTCTAAGCCTTCCTGAGCTACCTGCGACCCCCGGCGCAGGTGGGCTTTCTCGGGGTGTCCTCGCGGTTGGGAAGCAGCGTGAACTCAGGGGCTTTCAGAGGCTCCCGCGTCTCCCTCCCCGGCCCCCTGAGCGCCCCGGGAGCCTCACTCCTTCACACCCAGCCGGGCGCCCCTTCCCAGGGTGTCGAGGACGGGCCAGCCCTGCGCCGCCCGCCCCCCGGTCCTCTCCTGGGGGCTCCTCCGAAGGGCTTTCCCTCTTGCCAGCCTTTCATCTTCCCCGTTCCCCCCCATTACTCCCGGCTTCTCGAGCTAAAACCCCCGGGGGTCCTCCCCATCTGACCGGCTTCCAGGCACCCGGCCTGCCTGTCCAGGCCTGGGGGACAGTGGGACCCTCCAGGCGGCAGGTGCAGAAGCAGGCACCGCAGCGTGCAGGCAGGTGCAGGCCGAGGCTGCTTCCAGCTTCTGCCGCTGGCCTCACCTCCACTTCCATGTGCCGTGGGTTCCCTGCGTTTGGGGTTTTATTTGTAATTAATCAGCGTTGTACTTTCACTGCTATGAATGTCTCTTTGTTAGCTTGGCCCCCCGTGCCGAGATGTGTCCAGCCCGGAGTCTGTCACTTAAATTAGGTAAATGGGCTCGTTAGCCTCCCACCCCAGTCACATGTCGGGGGACGTGGAATCCAGGGGCGCGGGGTCGTCACGGGGCTCCTGGAGAGGCGTGTGGAGCCCCCGCCATCGCGTCCCCCAGGGAGAGCAGAGAGGCCTCGTCGTGGCTCCCTCCGACCACAGCCCTCCCCGACCCCAAGTCCCCAGCCCTGCCGGGACACGCGTGCTTGCCATGCTGAGAACCAGCGGTGCTGGGAGGGGACGGCTATTGTGCACTTCAGCCCGGCTTCCAGGCGCACAGGCTCTGGCAGGAGGTCAGTGCCCTGCAGAGGCTCTGGGGCCCCCCGCCAGCTCCCTCGCCTCAGACTCTCGGCGGGGCAGGGACGGAGCATATGCTCTTCCTGCCTGCGAGGGGCCCCTGTGCCCGGCCTGCCCTCCCGGCCCCAGGGGCAGCCTGCAACTTCACTTCTGTTTAAGGCAGCCCATCGCTGTTACCTGTAACCAGCACCACTGCCCACCTGCCCCTCTCCCAAGGCCACAGGCTTCCTCTGAGAGCCCGTCCGCCCCTCTGCCCCGGCCGGGCCGTCAGCTTCCCGTTCGGCTCTCCGTTCTGCCCACCGTGGGCCGGTCAGAGCCCCGTCTGTGGTGTGTGAACTCCTTCATCTACCCTACTGTCCACCTGCCCAGCCGCTCAGCCATACCCAGCCATTTACCCATCCCCCCCCCCCCCCCCCCCCCCCCCCCCACCTTCCCGTTCGGCTCTCCGTTCTGCCCACCGTGGGCCGGTCAGAGCCCCGTCTGTGGTGTGTGAACTCCTTCATCTACCCTACTGTCCACCTGCCCAGCCGCTCAGCCATACCCAGCCATTTACCCATCCCCCCACCCGCCTCGTCCCCCCACGCAGTAACTCTTGAGCCCCCAGAGTCGCACACTAGAATGGCTCTTCCCAGCCCCCTGCCGTCACCACCTCTCTGGCCACGCCCCACCTTCCTCACCTACCCCCTCCCCGAGATCTGCAGCAGAGGACAGGTCAGGCCTGCTGCCCCACTTCCTGCTTCCGGCCTGGTGCCGAGCCTCACGGTCTGGGAGTTGGCTGGGCGCAGGCCCCGACGGGGACAGGGCTGGTTCAGTCTAGTCTACACCACTTCCAGTGCTCGGGCCTTGGGCCTGCTTCTGAGCCCCGAATCCCCAGTTCCCATCTGTAAGGCGGTGATCACCGTAGGACCCCACCTCAGGGTAGTCGTAAAGAGCTTTAAGCAGCGCCCAAATACTGTAGGAACTGGAGAGCCAGCTCCTCTGCATTTTACTCTGCGAAGGAAGACAGAGTCAGAGGGGGAGGAGTCCGAGGGGCCAGGGCCTCCCACCTGAGCGCACACCCCTACCAGGCCCGAGCGCCTCAAGTGGCAGCTTGCCGTCCACCCATGTCCCTGAGTCCAAGAGTTCCCAGCGCAGCCCCTCCCCCCAGGGATTTGGAAGGGCCTGCCGGTGGGGCGGGGCGGGTGGGTGCCTGCAGGCAGGGGACGCAGCATGGCCTGGGGGGCGGGTGGGTACCTGCAGGCAGAGCCCAAGCAGGGAATGCAAGGACCCAGACCCCACCCCAAAGAGCAGCAAGAAGGTGGACAGTGGACGTTCGGCCTGAAGAGGGGAGGGGGAGGAGGCCTGGCGGGGGGGAGGACCCAGTGGAGAGGCTTCCTCACCTGCCTGGCATCCACGGGAGCCAGTCTTGGGCTTGGGGGAAATGAGTGAATTTTGCTTTGTGCAGGGCACTGCTTGACCATTTGTAATTTCTGACTGTACCTTCATCAAGGCGGGAGGGTAGAAACATTTCACGTGACAGTTTGTCTGCTTGGTGGTTTCTAACTGGTGAGCATGCAGACACAGGGGATGTGAGCTCGGTGCTGGGTGCTGCAGCGCAGCCCACAGGTGCCGGAGGAAGAGGAGCGGGCGGCGGCCTCCAGGACCCTGTGCCACCGGCCCTCCCTGGGGCGGGCTGATGCCTCCTCACTCCCCAACTGAGGCCTGGTGGCCTCGCAGGTGATGAACCAGGGGCCGGTCCCAGCAAGCTGTTCTCGCGGCCGCAGTTTCCATGTCAGTGAAGGGCAGGCCTTGGGAACCATGTCGGGAGTGGTGTGAGGATGAAACAGTATGTGAGAGTCAGACCCTGTGCCCCGGACAAGAGGAAGTGCGGTCCCCATTCTGTCGCTGTCACCCAGGGAGACCTCATCATCAGACCCGCTATTGGCAGGCGGGGCCTTTGCTGGGCCCCGAAACAACTGATGAAATGATCCAGTTGGAGCCTAGACGCCCCCTCCAGGGATCACGGGGACCCCAGGGCATCCTGGTGGCCTCAGAGTCAGACGGGACTCCCCGGCGGGCCCTGGGCTGGGAGCCCCGATGGATGTGGGCTGTGGACAGAAGAGTCCCTGACCCACAGTGGGGGCAGGCGGGCCCGGCGAGGCCGGAGGGTGACAGTCGTCTGGGGGCTGTCGTTGCAGTGAGCCACCTCTTCATGGCCACCGCCTGCCAGGACGCCACCTTCAGCACCCTCCTCCACGAGCTCTGCCTCGCCCAGTTCCAGGTGGACATGGAGGCCGTCGGGAGGCCGCTGTGGTGCGACTGGGGCAAGACCATCGGGTGAGTCCGCGTCTCCGGCGTGCGGGCGTGTCGGGGGGCGGGGCCGCGGGCCGGGTGAGAGGGTTTCCCTCAAGGCCACGGTTGCGGTTCTTCACCAAAGTCCAGGGTGTGGATGCGCCACGGGCCGGGTCCAGGGTGAGGGCGAAGGAGGGCGCCCCTGCCAGGTGAGCGTGGACGGTGGGGTGGAGGAGGCCTGAGCGCTGAGACCTGGGGTCACGGTGGGTGGCGGGCGCCAGCGTGGCAGGTGGCGGGCGGAGGGTTCCGTTCGGCCCTTGTCCGGTCTGGGAGGCCGGGGAGCCGGGAGCAAAGGTGTAGCGGCCGGGCCGAGTCCCTGTGACAGGAGCCGCCGAGTGCAGGGCTGTACCCGCAGCTTCCCTCCATCCCCATGGTCCGGCCAGGGCTGTCCTTCCAGCCTGCTCGGGGCTCGGAGCTTCCTGGAGCCTTGGGCGGCCCAGCTCGAGCTGAGCCCCTTCCCCTTCCTGACTCAGCCCTTCTGCCAAGACGTCCGTCTTCCTGCCCCACGGGGCTCATCCCTGGCCCCTCGGCCCCCGGCGGGGTCGGCGTCTCTCCCCGCCCAGGCCGCGTCCCCTCCGCCTTCTGGAGCAAAGATCAGAACTTGGTGTGTCTGCGGGCGCTATCCCAGGTTGTGTTTCTGCTTCAGCGTTCAGGGCCCGGGAGCATCTGAGGGCTCCAGTGGGCGAGTAAAGGCAAAGAGAAATACCCTCCAGATGCCGAGCACAGGTGGGCGGCCGACCCTGCCGGGCAACAGGCTCCGCAGAGTGTCTGCGGGTTTCCAGCCTGGGCTCCGAGGTCCTCTGTACAAAGACCTGCACCTCGGTTTACAGCACAGCGCAGGACACACAGGAGCTGGGCGCGGGCATGCTTGTTTCCTGCCCCTGCAATGAACATGGAACCCGCACGGCCCTCCAGGGTCTGAGCAGAGGCTGAGCGGGCGCCGGACCAGGTGGGGTTTCCTCACCCTCCTCCCTCTCCCGCTGCCTCTTCCCAGACTTCAGGGTCTCCTTTAATGAGCTGAGAAATCAGTCATGAGTTAGAAATCCAAGGGGGGCGGGGCGGGGGCAGGATGTTAAAAATCGGCAGAGCCTGTTCTTCAGGCTAATTGGCTTTTCTGCCTCCGCTGAGTGATTCGTGTTTAAATTAAAGAGAGCACATTATTATGATGCAGAGAAAAACACCACGAGGGTCCCTGGGGAGCAACATGCCCCCGCCCCCGCCCCCAGCTCTGTGCAACTGATTTGTGTAGACAGATTCCGAACAGGTGGCCTCGCAGCAGCGGTAACGCAATTGGCATGTGACGTTCTAAACGAAGCAGTGGTGACATGTTACTAGAAACGAAGCCACCGCAGACGGTTTCCGACTCTGCTTAGAGTGCAAACAGGAGTAATTATGACCCGGGCCCCAGAGTTTGCCGTCATCCGAGCTGAGCCGTGTGGTGATACAGCTGAAAATAGAAGCCGGGGTGGAGGTGAGGTTGCTAGGAAATTTCTTTATTTAAAAAGAAAATCAAGATAATTGTGGGAGGGAGAAGCAAAAGTCCTCATCCTGAGAGCATCTCAGCAAATCAGCTGGGGCCAGCCAGCCCCGGGGTCTGTGGTCAGCAGAATAACAGCCCCTAGAGATGGGAACCACATCCTAATCCTGGGAACCACATCCTAATCCTGGGAACCTGGGAATATGTTACAGTACATGGTGAAGGGGAGGTAAATTGCAGGTGGAACTAAGGTTGCTAACCAGGTGACCCGGAGATGGGGGGATTATATGGATTATCTGGGTGGGTCCAACACCGTCACAAGGGTCCTTAAATTGTCCCAGCTTTGGCAGTTACAGCACCTTCAAATTGGCTTTTGTGTTCTTTTGACATCCCCCCCACCCCCCGCCACTGCCCCGCATCCTTTTGGGGGCAGTTCCTTACTTCCTGGCACCGTGAGATCCTCCAGGCTCATTTTGTGCATTTTCTGCCCCAGCCCTGGAATCAGCCATTTTTCCAAGGAGCCCTGGTTCCTTTGATTAAAGAATGATGCTCAAAAGCCGAGATAAACATACACATATATTCCTACCAGGGATTTAGATGTGACCAGTGAGACCACCCAAGCACAAGAAGAAAAATAACACAGGAGAACCCCCCTTTAACCTTGGTGTAGGGAAAAGCTATATATAACGATATTTATTTCAAGGAAATGGCTTACGATCATGGGTGTGTCAAGTTCAAATCTGTGGAGCAGGCTGAGGCTGGAGACTCTTGGGCGGAGCCAAGGCTGCAGCCTTGAGGCAGAATTTCTTAACTTGCTCTTAAGGCCTTTCAACTGGAGGCTGAAGCCCACCCACATGATCAGGGAGGATCTCTCTCCTTAAAGCCAACTAGTTGTAGAGGTGAACCACATCTCAGAACTGCCCCAGCAACACCTAGGTTGGTGTTTGGTTGAGTAACTGGGAACTAAAGCTTGGGCAGGTTGATGCAGAGAACTGCCCATCACGCTGGGGCTCTGAGTCAGAGCTGTCCTCAAAGGTAGCTTCCGAGAAGTGTCATTTCCCCCCACCGCATCTCTCCATCCTTTTCACCCCAATCCCACCCACTCCCTGTGGGTACCAGTCTCATTAGCTTCCGGTTTTTCCTTCTTGTATTCCTTTGTACAAATGGGCAGGTGGACATATTTTTTTTCTTATATCCTCTTCTTTCTTACATGAAGTATTGGGTGGGCCAAAAAGTGCCTTCGGTTTTTAAGTAAAAATAAAAGCCACATTTTTCATTTTCACCAAGAACTGTATTGAACAACGTATTCACCCTTTTGTTCCACTACCTTCTGCCATTTTTCAGGCAACTTCATAATTCTGTCTTCCCAAAACTTTTTATCTTTTTGAGCAAAGAACTGTTCCATGTGCCTTTTACAGTCTTCCAGGGAATTGACATTTTTTCCATTAAGAGAAATTTGTAAAGACCTAAATAAATGGAAATGTGAAGGTGCAGTGTGTGGTGAATATGCTGGATGAATTAGAACTTCCCAGCCAAGCTGTAACAGCTTTCGCCTGGTCATCAAAGAAACATGCGGTCTTGCGTTATCCTGATGGAAGATTATGCGTTTTCTCTTGACTAATTCTGGATGCTTTTCGTTGAGTACTGCTTCCAGTTGGTCTAACTGGGAGCAGTACTTGTTGGAATTAATCCCTTCGTTTTCCAGAAGGAGCTCATAATAGCGGGCTCCCTTCCAGTTCCACCATATATACAACATCACCTTCTTTGGATGAAGACCGGCCTTTGGTGTGGTTGGTGGTGGTTTATTTCGCTTACCCCACGATCTCTTCCGTTCCACGTTATTGTACGGTATCCACTTTTCATCGCCCATCACAATTTGTTTTAAAAACAACGTTTTCGTTACATTTAAGCAGAGAATCGCATGCGGAAATACGGTCAAGAAGGTTTTTTTCGCTTAACTTATGTGGAACCCAAACATCAAAGCGATGAACGTAACCAAGCTGGTGCAAATGATTTTCAGCCTTTGATCTGGATATTTCGAGTGTGTCGGCTATCTCCTGCGTGGTATAACGTTGATTGTTCTCAACTAATGTTTCAATTTGATCGCTCTCAACTTCAGTTGGTCTACCCGACTGTGAAGCGTTGTCCAGTGAGAAGTCTCCAGCACGAAACTTCACAAACCGCTTTTTTTTTTTTTTTTTTACAAACCGCTTTTGACACGTTCGATCAGTCACAGCACCTTCTCCATACACTGCACAAATCTTTTTGTGCATTTCAGTTGCATTTTTACCTTTCTTGCCGAAAATGTTGCTGTTTTCTTCCATCTTCAGTATTAAAATGGCTACACAAAAATTCACCAATTTGACGTCTTTTTTTAAATGCACGCTGATATGACAGCTGTCACATACAATCTAACAAAATTGTTTCCAATGACGTTAAAGACAACTAAGTGCTACGAGAGCCGTCTTACAGGAAAAAAAACTGAAAGAACCTTTTGGCCAACCTAATATACTATACTGTACTACAGATATTCCTATACTATACTATTCCATAGATTGTCTTATACTATGCTGTACTGTACTATACTATAGATAGTCTTTTACTATAGATATTATTATACTACACTATGCTATCAATACTCTTATGCTGTACTATACCATAGTATAGATATTCTTTTTTTTTTTTGCGGTACGCGGGCCTCTCACTGTTGTGGCCTCTCCCATTGCGGAGCACAGGCTCCGGACGTGCAGGCTCAGCGGCCATGGCTCACAGGCCTAGCCGCTCCGCGGCACGTGGGATCCTCCCGGGCCGGGGCACGAACCCGTGTCCCCTGCATCGGCAGGCGGACTCCCAACCACTGCGCCACCAGGGAAGCCCTAGATATTCTTATACTATACTATAGATATCTTTATACCATACTGTACGATAATATACTATAGATATTCTCATACTATACTATAAATATACTCTACTATACTATAGATACTCATACTATACTATAGATATTCTTATACTACACTATAGGTATTCTTTTTTGCACTTGGGGTTTTCTTTTTTCACTGAGAAGTATATCCTGGAAATCAGTCCTCATCAGTGCACAGAGAATGTTCCCATTCATTTTTACAGCTGGATACTACTCCACCATGCGTAGTGTTTCCATTGCTTTCCTATGAAGAGGCATTTAGGTTTTCTCAGTAGTCTCCAATTTCAGATAGTGTTGAAGTGAATGACCTTGTGCAGATGCATTTTCATGTTGTTGGAGCTGTATCTTCAGGTCAACGGTAAGAGCACACGTGATTTTATTAAGTGCTGCCCGTTGCTCTCCTGAGGGTGCACCGGTTTGCACCCCGCCAGCAGTGGAGGGCCCGTTTCCCCAAGCCTCGCCAGCAGACTGTCATCAGACGTTGACCGTTCCCCGTTGGATGAATGAGAACTGGTGTCTGAGTGGAGTGTTAATTTGCAGTCTCCAGTTACAGGTGAATCTGAACATCTTTCCTACGTTTAACGG